CTTTCTGAAACATGATGGCCCTTCAATGACTTGTTAAAATCCTGAGGCCCTGAGCCACCCTCTGCCCCTAGATTTCAGCCAAGTTAATCCCAAATAGGAGCATGTGTGTGTTGTGAGCGGTGGGGTGGAGGCTTGCTGCTCTGCATGGACCTGGGCCCACCGTTGCCTCGGCTGCCCCAACCTGTGTACAGTAACAGGATAATTGGCCGCCCTGTTGACATCCCAAACCCGTCTCTGGTCTCGGGCAGCTGCTGGCTCCAACTCACAGCCGGCATCGGCCAGCCAGCCAGCACCGCACGTCCACACCCTCACCTCCGGCCCTGTGAGCATCAGGAAACTGGGAAGAGGGAAACAAAGGGACATGGTGCTGGTGGCAAGTCCCTCCCAAAGCCATTTCCCCTTCATGCCAGCCCCCAGCTTCTCCCTCTCCTGCATCAAGCAGTGAAGGGTGAGAGCTTGATGCCAGAGCAGCTCTCCCATCCCTAATGGGTCCTTCACCACTCGGAGCCTCAGTTTCCTCTTCTGTCCAATGAGGGGAGCCTGAGAGCCATGGCGGCAGGGCCCTGTCTCTGCCTCATTCATCACGAGTCCCCCAGAGGCTCAACGGTGCCCGGCACATAGCAGGTGTTCAGTAGATACCTGCTGAGTGATGAGTGGTTTCTGAACACTGGCCTGTGGGCTGGCTGAGTGGGGACCTGATGGGAGCCGATTCCTGGTCCCTTCCCTAGACCCCAGATCAGAATCTTGGGGTACATGAGAAGAGTCTGTGTTTGTGGAAAGTCCCTCCAAGTGATTGGGGTGCCCTGGCAGGTATGGAATTCAAGGCATTGGATCATCTCTGAAGCTCCTTCTGTCCCTGGGCTCTGAAAGGAGAGACACATGCACAGAGACAGGGGAACGGTCTTGATGACCTTTCAGGGTCCCTCCTGGCCATTGAAGTCAGTGGATCCAGTGCGTGTGTGGGTGATGCCTCAGGGATGGGGGGAAGCGGGGGGAGGAATGGTGGGCGGGGGTGGGTAATGAGATCTGACGTCCAGGAGCAGTGACTCAGGCCCTCAGCGCCATGACCTTGTGTCTGCATTTAGCCACTGGCTCCTGTTTCCCTGGCGGGTGGCAGGCTTCTTGGTCCCCCACCCCCACCCCACCCTCTTTCCATCTCACCTCAGTGCTGGTAACTTTCTGGCAGCCCTACTGGAACCCCGTCGGCCAGGATGGGTGACACGCGCCAGGCAGGAATCTCCACTAGACAGACAGACAGACCCCTTTGGCTCCAGCCACCACCCTGACCCCACTTCACGGACTACCGGCGCCAGTGGTTACCCGTGTTGATGGACCCCCCCGCCCACCGCCGCAGGGAGGAAGTGTTGTGGGAGCCAGAGAAAAGAGAAAGAGTCCCTACCTTCAGAAGCCCCCAATCTAACGGGGAGACTGGCGAACCCCTAACCCAGGGAACTGCCAGTCTGATAGGGGAGAGAGGACCCAGGAGGACCATGTCACACTCAGGTGCTGGGGTGGGCAAAGCCAGTTGGTACAGCGGGCATCTGGGCAGGCCCCCTGTGTGGGCTCCATCAGAGAGGGCTCCGTGGAGGAGGAGGAACCGCAGCTGATCTGGGAAGGAAGGGCAGGATTTGGAGGGGGGAGCAGAGGCCCCACTCTGCAACCTGGGCAGCAGAGGACCCCCGGCCTCCAAGAACGGCCTTCCTTGCTTCACCCCCTGGTCCCGCATGATCTGTGCACGGGCAGAGGGGCTTCTCAGGGGTGTTCGGGACCAGACTGTCTCCATACACGGATGTTCAGGTCACCCCGGCCTCGTGGAGGGTTTGGATCAGATAAGACAGTGTTCAAATCCCAGCTCCGCCACTTGCTCGTGTGCAAGCCCCAGGCTCTCTGTGAGGCTGTTTCTCTATCTATAAAATGGGAATACCATCTCCTTCCTGAGCCATGCGGGGATCAAATGAGGCCATGCTGGAAAGCTCAAAGCCAGGAGCCGGTGCCCAGCAGGCACCTCAGAAGTCAGAGCTAGAGTGGTTGTCCCGCGGAACTGTCCTTTACCTCTGACTGAGACCCTGCCCGCTGCCGCCCCCGCATCTCCTCTGAGCTGGAGGTCAAGCAGGCCTTTCCTGGGAACATAACCTTCTATATTGTTAAGGACCATTTACTAAACTACCTGCTCTCTTCCCCTGAGTCAGGCCCAAGCCCCAGCCCAGCCTCAGCCTTCTCCTCTTGGGTCCCGAAATGTTGCAGAGCTGGGAGGTGGGGGGTGGGGTGGGGGACGGAGGTAAGCATGAAATCTGGGTCCCCGTGGGAGCTGGCAGGGGAACAGCTGCACATTCTATACCCCACTCCAGGGCTGTCTCAGTCCTTCCTAAGAGATGGCTGTGAACATTATCTGCCCTGAGGGAGGGAACCCCTCGCCTCACACAGGGGTCCAGCAGGTGGGGGTCCTCCATGCACCCCTGACCTCCTGACCTTGCTTCTCCCACTCTCCCCAGAGCCAGGGGCTTGGGCCCTTCTGCCCTGATCACCCACACCTAGATCCCTCTCCCCAAGGGCTGGAACTTTGGGGGAGAGGGGATGGAGAGAGAGAAAACCCTGTCCTCAAGGAGCTTGCAATCTGGTGGGGGAGACACAGAAACACGGAACACACACAAGGTCCTGAGGCGGGCCCAGGGGTCTGAGTGGCGACAGGACAGCATGTGTCCCCACCTCGTTGCCGTGGGAGGCTCCGGGGCTGGAGTTATCGGCCTGGAATGCCAGGCAGTGAGCTCAGCCTCCTGAGCTTGCCTGTGTTGGACTGTCAGCAGGGCCGTCTCACTGGAGAAGATTTCCAGCCCCTCTGGGCCACCCAGAGGACTAAATTTAGCTGGTAGACAAGGGGCTGGCCCTGCGCCCAGGGACAGTCGGGCCTTATAAAGCGGCGGCAGCCGGGGCCCGGCACGCTCCCTCCGAGCCTGCTGCCCACGCGCCCTCCTGTCCACCCTGCCCACTGGCCAGGGCCCGGCCGCCCGCCCGTGGATGAGCCACAGGACCTCCTCCACCTTCAGAGCGGAGAGAAGCTTCCATTCTTCCTCCTCCTCCTCGGCCTCCCACACCCTTCCCGCCCAGGAGCCGCCCATGGAGAAGGCACTGAGCATGTTCTCCGAGGATTTCGGCAGCTTCATGCGGCCCCACTCGGAGCCCCTGGCCTTCCCAGGCAAGTCCTCCGTGGGGAGGGGAGGCGCCCAGGGAGGGGACACCTGCTCCAGGGCACCACCCGACGTGGCTGCAGCTGCCGAGCTGCTGGGAACAGGTGCTGTACAGCTGCAGCCACGTGTGACCACCGGGACAGATGCGGCCACAGAGACAGATGTGGCCGTGAGTACAGGCAGGCCTTCAAGAAACAGCTCTGGCCTGGGGCTCAGCTACACGTACCCCCTACTCCAGGCCTGGGGTGGGTCACTACAGACATATACACACACCCACCCCACCTGTCCTGGGTAAGGCCCCATCCCCCAGGCGGAAAAGGTGTGCTGCAAGAGGGCGGGTGGCAGGGAGGGTGGCAGCTACGGCTGAGAGGGAGCTCAGGCCCTGGGCGGCCAGCCCCTTCCCTCCGGAGAGGGAGCCGGAGACCTGGGTTCTGAGCGCCAGCCCGCCCTCTGCTCTGCTTACGGCAGCCCTCCCCACAGCCCGTCCCGGGGGGCAGGGCAACATCAGGACCCTGGGAGATGCCTATGAGTTTGCTGTGGACGTGAGCGACTTCTCACCTGAAGACATCATCGTCACCACCTCCAACAACAACATCGAGGTGCGAGCTGAGAAGGTGAGCCCGCTCCCTGCCCCCAGACCCTGGGCCCCACGCCTGTACCCTCTGCCCCGTGTCCCCACTCATCCCAGGACCCCGCACCCTGCCCAGTACCCCCCAACCCCCAGGACAAACCAGAGGCCTCGGTCCTGTAGCTGGTGGGCCGCGGGACCCCCTGTTACTGCCTCTCTCTGCCCCAGGCTCCCAGATGCTTCCTTCCGGAGTCCAGGGCAGCTGAGGAAGCCACAGGGGATGGGGGAGGCGGGGAGGGATGCTGCAGGGAGGTGAGAAGGGAGATGAGAGGAAGGAGATCGCGGCTGAGGCAGGATAGCCCTTCCTGTGGGCATCTGGAGAGGTGGGGGGCTCACTGGTCCCTCACCTCCGGACCCCTGAATTAGGCCCAAGGTTGCGCAGAGGCCCTGCAGTTCATGGTCACACCCCCCCCCCCAAACCCCACACTTCCTCCACCCACAGGTCTCAGGGTCACTTGGTCACTAGGGTCTCTGAGTCCCAGCTCCCAGGAGGCCTGCTCCCTGGAGGAGGGTGTGGCCCTGGCTGAACAGGGATGCTGCCCCCAGCGGGCCAGAGCCACTGCTGCTCCTTAGGGAAGAGGGTCGGCCCAAGGCTGCTTCTGGATCCCCCTTGGCCTGGCTTTCTCCCCTGAGCACAGGAGGCTGCATGCCCGAGGGGCGCCTCTCAGGGAAGCCAAGGACTGTGGGCACCAGGACCAGTGGGCAGCACGTGCCAGCCCTGCCACCCTCACCAGTGACTCAGCCGCCCCAGGCTCCTCTGGACACTATGTGCTGGCTGAGTCACGCAGAAGGGGCCGTCGGCCGAGCCCTGATGGTGGACACCGTGTATCCCGGTATCCAAGAGGGCTCAGCTCTGCTCTGTGCCACCTCCTTGCTGCACAGGAGCCCCAGATTCTGCCACTGAGTTTCCTCCCCATCTGAGCTCCCCAACCAAGCCCCTTGCCTCTCCCCCAGGACCACTGGAGCTCCTCTAAGCACCTCGGCCCCCGTCCCTGCTCAGCCCTGGCCAGCCCCTAGACCGGGCCTCTGCACCTGAGAGCAGAACCTCTTGGCACAGGGGGGCCCAGCTGGGGTTACACTGGGGAGCAGGGGCTGTGGCTTGACGTGAAGAGGACAAGCGTGGGGAGCAGCCTGCCCTGACCCATTACCCCTTCTCCAGCTGGCAGCTGACGGCACGGTCATGAACACCTTTGCTCACAAGTGCCAACTGCCGGAGGACGTGGACCCCACGTCGGTGACCTCGGCCCTGAGGGAGGACGGCAGCCTCACCATCCGGGCTCGGCGCCAACCACACACGGAGCACGTCCAGCAGATCTTCCGGACCGAGATAAAAATCTGAGGGCCTCCCCCTCCCTTCCCCCAACTCCCCCACCTTCTCCCCCACTGGCCGGCCAGAGTGGCTCTCCGGACCCCCTCATGACAGCTTCCGGGACATCTCAGCCCAGGTTCAGGCCCTGACACCTCCACCCCAGACCCCAGGTGGGTCATCCCCTCCAAATGTGGCTTTCTGCTCTACCCAGGGCAGGCCAGGGACCCCCTTGCTTCACCCGTGGCTCCCAGATTCCAGATGTGGCCTCATTCACTTAATCTAGAATAAAGGGATTGGGATGGAGAACAGGAGATCCCGAAGAAGCCAGTTTGGGGAAGGGGGATTGGGACAGGCAGGATCTCTGGGCAAATAATCTGCAGGACAGACAAATTCTGATCTATGGAGTCTCTGCAGGGCAGGGGCAGGGGGACTGGGGACCTGGGGACCTGGGGACCTGGGACCCCCTTGGCCAAAGGGAGCAGGAGAGGCAGAAGGATATCACAGGCAGAGGTGCCCAGCTAAAGTGAACTGCCCGGGCACAGGGAGGCCAGAGACAGCCATGATGATCCGCTTCCCCTCTGCTGCTCTCCAAGCCCCGAACCAGCTGCCAGACTGTCTGCCCACAAGGTGCCCCAGCCAGCCAGCTGTGCCAGCGCAGGGCCACATTGTGTCTGTATACAGATGGGGTTTTTCCAATACAGTTGGTTCGTGATAAACTGTGTGAACCGTCTGTTACCTGCTCATATGCCCCCAGGTAAGCCTGGGCCAAGCGGTGGGGCTGACCCTTCTCCCTCCCACCCAGAGACCTGGGCTCCCGGGGCTGCCTCCACTGCAGGCAACAGAGGAAGCAAGGATGGGGCTTTGGGTCCTCAAGGTAGGACCCCAGCTTCCTGCTAACCTTCCCTTGTGGCCATTCACCTCCCCCATCCTGTCCTCTATAATCTGTGAAGCTATAGGCTTGGTGTGTGTATACTACACACACACACAAACACACACACACACAAACAGGCGTACACACATGCACGTGCACATGTGCACACTTATCTTTGTCCTTCAAATACTAAACATTACCACTGGTTAAAGCCAGATTCGGAACGTTCTAAAATCAGATTTGCAATCTCCATTCTTCTCAATGGGGACAGAGTCTGAACAGTTGAGCGCCCAGCTTAACCACTGATGGTTGGATTTGAACCCACGATGTCAGAAGCTGCTCTCAAACCGCCCTCCCAGCCCTCCGTGCAATGGGGAGTAGTTCCTCTTATTCTGCCTCTCAGCCTGTGCACCCTGTGCCCACAGTTTCCTGATAGAGAATGTCCTAATCACAGGAAGAGTCCCCATCCCAGTTCCCTCCCAGTCCCCAGTCCAGGGCAAGGACCTCCCATCTGCCTTCATTCTGGGGAGCCCCAACTGCCCCCCGTGACCCTGGCTCAGTCTCCCACATACAGAAGCAGGGGTGATGGGTAAGGGTGGTTCCCAGTTAGTCAGGGCCCCTGGAGCAAGTGACAAGGCCAGCCTCGGCCCTCTGCACCTCTTTGGTCAGTGCTCTGTAAGGTGCCCTCTCACCCCTGCCATTCTGGAGCCCTTTGGAAATGACTCGGGGTGGGGGGCGGGCGGCGCAGAGGAGGGTTCTGGCACTGTACCCTGCACACACAATAAACAACAGAATCATGGACTTCTGGAGATCACCCGCCTGAAGCTCTCAAACTTGGGATGGGGCTGGAAGCAGCAGAGTGCGAAGGCCGGGGATGAACAGACACACCTTTCTTGAGATTTGGGGGCAGGGGTGGTAGCTCAAGCAAAGTTCAAGACCTCACAGAAACGTGGGTGTCCTTCGGCCTCCTCCTTTGGTTCCCAGGCCCACCAGGGCAATAATCTGGGAATTATTTCTCTGGAAAACCTTGCATCGCCTTCTCTTCCAACTGCCAGCCCCTGCTACTACCTGCCAGGCACTGTCCCAGGCACAGGGACACCAAAGTTGGGCCAGCTGCACTGGGTTGCTCTTGAAGTCTGTCTCGTACCAGATGCGTTCTGAGGACCAGAGAGGCCGAGTGACTAGCCTAGGGTCACACAGCCCCAGGGGCATAGCCCGGCTGAAACCTGGCTGGGAAGCTGACTGGTTCAGGGAGTCTGAGTACCCTTTGGAGGGACTGACACACACACACCCCCAGGCGCTACTGAAATCGGAGTTGTTCCTCCGCAGAGCTCCTCCGCGCAGCTCGGTGCAGACGGGAGGAGGGGAGGGAAGGGGGGGCGCGGTATTTCCAGCCTCCGTGACTCACTGATTCCACTGGGCTATTTGCAGCCCGACACTCATCGGCGAGGAGTTGGGGGGAGGAGCCGGAGCAGCTTTCCCCCTCCCTCGACCCCCACTTGGGGTCAGGCTCACCTTGGCGTCCCGACCCCAGCGGCGTCCCTCCCTGGGCCGGGCTGGCAGGAAGCTGGGCTGGGAAAGGGGGCATTTTCTTAAGTCACCAGTGGGGCCAAATACTCCCCACCCCGCAGGCCCCAGCAGCCCCCTCCCCAGATCCCGGTTTTAGAGGATGAGGGCTGCGCCAGCGGACAGAGCGGCCGCTGGGGACTGGGCACGTCTAGAGTGAAGGTGCCCTCCTGCCAAGGTGACCCTGCGGCAGAGGAGGGCGGGGACGTGGGGACTGCAGGCTTTCTATCGCTGGCTCCGCCCCCTGGCGCCTGGGCTGGCCGCCACGCTTTGTCTCCACTGGCCCCCCACACTTTCTAGGCTAAATATAGGCCTGGCTGCGGGCCCTGGGCCCCGCCCCCGCCCCGTGAAGAATGATTATAGCAGCCCCATCCATTGAGCACCTAGTGTGTGACAAACACATGCTCATCCCCACAACAATCACAAATGCAAGGTAGGTACCAAGGAGGACAGGAGGTTCAGAGAGGTCAAGCAACTGGCCCAAGGTCACCCAGCTTGGAAGTGGTATGGCTAGAATTTGAATCATTGTTTGTGACTCTAGAAGGTCCTCTGCTGGGTCACCCCAGATCAGTTCCCCCACCACCAAAGCGCCGAGGCAGCTCCCCTGCTCCCTTCCTGTATAGGGAAGGGGAACTCCTACATCTTAGAGCTTTTGGAGTGGGGGTGGGCAGGAGGCCGAGGCGGTTGAAAAGATGCAGCCTTCTAGGGCTAGAGACCTGCAAGAAGGTCCAGGTCAGGTGGTGCCAGAGAGGTGTGGAGGACTTAGGAGGTTCCATCACTTTCAAAGTCCTAGCCCAGGCCAAAAGCCTTCTCCTCCAGAAAGCCCTCCAGAGCTACCAGCTTGGAGTCACAGACAGAGCCCAAAGAACCCTAGGTCCAAAACTTGTCTTTAAAAGAAGCTCAAATTCAGATGAAAGGAGCACCTGCCTGGGAGTGAGGGCAGACTCTGAGGCTTGGTTGGCCAGCCCTGTGTCCTCTGGGAGTCATTCCAAACTCCTCATGGTTTGATGGTGGGACCTAGGCCCAGGGAGGGGTCGGATCTTGCCCAGGGTCACACAGCAAGTCAGTGGCAGAGATGAGGTGAAGACCCAGGACTCCAGAGCTTCAGGCCAGAGCTTCTCTTCCAGACCAACCCCCCATCCCCAGGCCACCCTTCCCTGACCCACCTCCAACATTGTACCCCTCCATCTCCCCCCTGCCCCCATCCTCTCCCCAGTCTGCCTTGGATCCCAGTTCTGCCATGGCAGAAGATGCCTTATTCTGCCCTCCTGCTCCCAAGCCTGGCATGGGAGAGGAGCTAAGTAAATGTTTGTAGAATTTTTTAAAAAACTAAGAAGCCTCAGTGAAGGGTGGAGGGTCAGTTGCGGACTCTGGAGTCACACCGCCTGGCTTCAAATCTTGGCTCTGCTGCTTCTGAGCTTTGTGATCTTGAGTAAGTAACTTAACCTCTCTGTGCCTCCGTTGCACCATAAAATGGTGCTTAATAGGATCTACCTGCTGTGGTTGTTCTGTAATTCACATAAGGGGCTTGGCACATGGTGGTTGACTCTAGCCCACATATGCCATGCATTGAAAATACCCAGAAGGACTCATTTAGAGCCCTGTTATTTCATTTAGATTTGGATCCTGACAACCCCAGTTCACCCACACTGTCTCTGGCTCCATCAAGACCAAGACTTGGGGGACTTCCCTGGCGGCGCAGTGGTTAAGACTCTGTGCTCCCACTGCAGGGGGCCCAGGTTCAATCCCTGGTCAGGGAACTGGATCCCACATGCATGCCGCAACTAAGAGTTCTCGTGACGCAGCTAAGTAGCCCGCGAGCCACAACTAAGGAGCCCTCCTACTGCAACTAAGGAAGACCTCCTGCTGCAACTAAGGAGCCTGCCTGCTGCAACTAAGACCTGGTGCAACCAAATAAATAAATTAAAAAAAAAAAGACCAAGACTTGGGCTGGTAGGGCAGAGGAGCTGGGGTCTTCTTTCCAGGAAAAGCAGGTGAGGCGGAGCTAAAAGGTAGGTTCCCCAGGGTCCTCTCAGAAGACCTGTCTGGGCCCTGGGGCTAGAGATGGGGGAGAAAAGCACCTGGAAGCCTTAATTTCTCATCATAAACAAAGATCAGGTAACCCCCTCCCAGGGCTGCTGTGAGCAACCAGAGAGAGACGGTGTTTTAGTATAAGCTCGATAAATGCTAAGCTCCTGTTAAAATCTCTGTGCTTGTTTTCTGAACAGGGAAAACCAAGCTTCCACCCTCTGGCTCTGCCCTCAAACAAGAGAGGGTCCTGAGGGGCATTGTGACTTGAGTCGGCTAGGTTGGTGCCTGAAGCAGGAGTCTCTGGGCAGGGGAGGAGGTGTTGTTTACAGTCAGCACAGCTGGCCTGGGGCTCACCCTGGGCAGCCAGCCAGTCCAGTCCTGAGCTCTGAGGCCCTCCAGGGCCTGGACCCAGGGTCAACCTTCCATGGGAGCCTGAGGGCTGCTAGACGGGTGGGGGCCCTCTGAAGTGCCTCCCTGAAGGGCACAAAGCGAGGCTGCTGGCCCCAGGGAGCCAGAGAGGAGAGAGCAGGACAGCAACTCTGCCCCTTCATCCTCCCCTTCCTTCCTTCCTTCCTTCCTTCCTTCCTTCCTCCCTCCCTCCCTTCCTTACTTCTTTCCTTCCCACACAATTCTTGACCACCTATTATGTACCAGGCACTTTTAGGGCACTGGGGACACAGTCCTGATTAGGCATAACTGCCAACCTGGAAACACATTCACTGATTCACACATTCCACTCACTGGTTCAGTAAAGTCTTTCATCTCTTTGTTGATTCATTCTCTCAACAGCTTTTCAGTAAATTCCTGCAGTATTGTGGGTAGGTAAAGCTCGGAGGCCCAACTACCTCCATTTCAACCCTGGCTCTGCCACTTACTATCTGTGTGACCGTGGGCCAGTTGCTTAACCTACCCGAGCCTCAGTTTCCACATGTGTAAAATGGGACAGCACCTCACAGGACTGTGGTGAAGAGACTGAGTTGTTCTCCTGCACCTGTGTACCCCCAGCTCAGTGAGGGCCTCACTCACGTGTTCGACCCCCAAACACTCCCTACACACTGCCAGGCCCTAGGCTGGGTCCTTGGAGAATGTTCATTCTTCCTTCCTTCACTCATTCAACACACATGAACAGAGCACCTATAGCATAGTACAGGGTTATGATGCTATGACTACATAGTCACACTGCCTGGGATTGGGATTTGGGCTAGGCCTCTTTCTAGTTGGTGACCTTGGGCAAATCATTTCATCTCTCTGTGCCTCAGTTTCTTCACCTGTAAAATGGCAACAAAAATTAAACCCACCTCATGGGTCTAGTGTGAGAAGAACTGAGGTGGCATGTGGTGCATATAAAAATATCAGTAGTTGTTTTTCTAGATGAGAGGGATTCTGGTTAGAATGAAAGTCTGGCTTCTGAACACTTGACCCCACCAGATGGCTGGCCCCATGGCGCCGGCCCCTCGGCGCGCAGGTTCCCGCCCTCCCCACCCAGACCAGGGGGTGGTGCCTCCATTCTGATGATAGGATAGGGCGACACCTTCTGGCGCAAAGTTAGACCCTCAGCCCCACGCTTTTCCCTGTGGGTCTCAAAATCCCTTTGCAGCGACGTCTTTGGGCTTTTCTAGTCCAGTGATTCTCAGCAGGGGGAGGAAAGAGAAGGGGGGTAAATGTGGTCCAGACTATTCTCTCACCACCTCCCTAATCCAGACTATCATCCCCTTTGCCTGGATTAAGGTGCAGCCTCCTCAGCTTCCTCCCCTGCCTTCCTATCCCAGCGCAAGAGCTAAGGAATTTTTTTTAAAGGTAGGTCATGTTGCTGTCTGCTCACAATTTCCAACAATCCCCATCTCAGAATAAAATAAAAAGACCTCGGGAATTCCTGGCGGTCCAGTGGTTAGGACTCCGTGCTCTCACTGCGGGGGGGCCCAGGTTCGGTCCCTGATGGGGGAATTAAGATCCCACAAGCCAAGCCAAGCCATGCAGCCCTGCCCAAAAAACAACAAACAAACAAAAAACAAAGACCTCATCGTGGCCTGCAAGGCCTCACATGATATGGTCCCTGTCACTTCTCTGGCCTCTCTGTTTCGAGTGTGTACATGCATTGTCTCCCCCAGCTGGAGGATAAGCTCCTTCATGGCAGGGCCTTGTCTGTCTATCACTGCTCCATCCCAGGGTCTAGCCCAGAGATTAGCACACAGTGGGTGCCCAACAAATACTTGGTGAGTGAATGAATACTCCAGCCAGACTGAATAACTTTGGTCCTTCTCCTTGGAACACTCCCCACCCCGGCCCCCTTGCCTTTGTATGACTCACTCACTGGTCAGATTTTAGTTTAGATGCCACTGCCTGCAGGAAGCCCTCCTTGATCTCCTCTCTCTAATGGGCTGGGCATCCTCCTCCAGCACCAACATCATTCTCTGTGCCCTTACTGTTGCACTTACCAGAAGCTATTGCAAAAGTCACCTTCTTCTTGCCTCCCCCACCAGGCTGTGAGCTCGTTGAGGACAGGGTCTGCTCTCTCTAGATCCCCTCTGTTTAGAAGAGACCCTGCCAGGATGAGAGGCCATCTGCTCTACAGTTAAGAGCAAGAAATTGAGCACCAGGCTGGCTTGGGTTCGAATCCCAACTGCACCAGTCTATGAGACCTTGAGTGCATTCCTCAACCTCTCTGTGCCTCGATTCTCTAATCTGTGAAATGGGTACAAAACAGTGCTTCCCGGTGCTGACACTCGGAGGATGTCACATTCCTGGCACAGACCAAGTGGTCAGTACACATTAGCCACTAGTGTTTGTAGGAACCTAGTAAAACCATCATTGAATAAATGAACATTCAGCAATTTTAATCCAAGAGCCTTGAGACACTCTTCCTCAGATGAATCTCACACAGCTCTGTGCATCTCTTAGACCTACACCTTCCCTCACAGCAACCCCCACTTCCTGCTG